CAGAAGTCATATTGGCGTGGGCTGTGTAATCGAGCTGTACACAGGCTTGGTCTTGGACCACTGTGTCCTGTCCAACTACTGCCAAGGCTGTGCTGTTGGCACCAAGCCTGGTGACGACAACTATGAGGAGTGGCTTGAGAAACACAAGCCACAGTGCCAAAAGAACACTGATGCTAATGCAGGCCAAATGGAAGTAGAAGCAGCTAAGATCATGTTTGAAAGATCGTTTACCAAGTACAAGCTTCGATACATCAATGTGCTCTGCGACGGTGACAGCCGTACGTACCTTGCCCTCACGCAAGACAAGGTGTATGGCTACATGGTGATTAAGAAACAGGAGTGTGTGAACCATGTGAAAAAAGAATGGGCACTTCCTTGCGCAACCTTCTTGATGAGCACAAATCCAAAGGCCGAGGACTGAGCATGGGTGGCAAAGGCCGGCTGACGCAGGGCCTGATAAAGAAGTTAACGAATTATTATGGTTGGGCCATTAAGAGCCACCCCAACGATGTTCCTGGCATGGAGAGGGCCATCATGGCCACTTATTACCATGTAACATCCACAGACCAGGATCCACACCACGACCTGTGCCCAAGTGGGACTGACTCCTGGTGCCCGCACAATCAGGCATTGGCCAAGGGAGAGCCGCTGCCGCCTCACAAACATAAACTGCCCCCTCACGTGCGAGTGGCACTGCTGCCAATCTACAAGCGCCTCTCGAACAAAGAGCTCCTTGAAAGGTGTGCGCAGGGAAAACCCAGAATGCTGTGGAGAGTATGAACAGCCTCATTTGGTCACTCCAGTCCAAGAGCCAGTTCGCCTCCCTTCGAAGTGTGGAAAGTGCAGTTGCAGATGCAGTCTGCCGTTTCAATGGTGGCTGCAAGAGTGCGCTGCAAGAGATCACCGCTCAACTGGGCTTCAATCCAGGAGACTGCTCTTTGCGGCGAGCAGCCGAAAAGGATGCCAAAAGGGTGAAGAGGGCTCAAAAGGTGCATTGTTCCACGACAAAGAAGTGCAAAACTGGGTTGCGCTCTACAGAGGCCAAGGCCACAGCATCTCAGGATTACTGCCCAGGAGGATTCTGAGTGTTTTAGGCATATTGTGAACTTCCAAACAAGAGTGAACTTTCAAAGTCAGTTTTCTCAACTCTTGATTTTCGCCTATGTGCCTTCGCTAGAACATCTGTCATTTTCTAACAAAGACTGATAGAGTCGTTCCGTTTTTTGCACTAGGCTCAGGAGGCTTTTAGCAGTGCAATAAAGCTTTATCTCTCTTCTTACTCATCATTTAAAATTCTTAGAACACATTTTATAATTACTGTGATGTGTGTGCAAAACAACATCCATGTTTTGGAAATTTTATTTATGGTTACAAGAACTAGAAAAATCAACTAATAGCTTCTTTGCACAAGTTGATGCTTTGGGAACATAATAATATGAAAAAATAATTTCATTTAGCAATAATTATCTCTTTAAGTGTGAAGAGCATTAATTAGTATAATTATGCTTGTAACTCAAAAAGTACAAGAGGTATTTGAAAACGGTTTTCATATTTGGAATCCTCACAATCATCCACATACACACACCAAATTTCATCACAAACAGTACATTAATAAAAAAATTAGTTTTACTTGCCACGTCCCCCCTTAAATTGAGGACGACACAGCGAGCAATGGAAAGAAAAATGATAGGTGTAACCTTAAGAGACAAGAAGAGAGCAGAGTGGATTAGGGAACAAACGGGGGTTAAGGATATCATAGTTGAAATCAAGAAGAGGAAATGGACATGGGCCGGGCATGTAGTGCGTAGACAGGATAACCACTGGTCATTAAGAGTAACCAACTGGATTCCCAGAGAAGGCAAGCGGGTTAGGGGGAGACAGAAGGTTAGGTGGGCAGATGAGATTAATAAGTTTGCGGGTATAAATTGGCAGCAGCAAGCACAGGACCGGGTTAACTGGCGGAACATGGGAGGGTGACTACGTCCTGCAGCGGACGTAGTCACCCTGATGATGATGATGTGCGACGAATGTGCGCGCGTAATCCGCGATCCGTCGTATAATAAATCGATTTTCCGGCTTGTCCAGATTGAGTTGCTCATGTAGCAGACCAAACTCGTGCACTCACTCATCAATTTCAAGGCTCCAAGAGCAGCGAGGTGTTAATTTCCTTTTCACGTAAAATTGCCACATTTTCGAGTGGAGGCCGCGGCGCAATATGTTCATCGTTGCGGACGCGCCGTTACAAGCACTCTACCTGTTGACAGTAGCCTCCATTGCGCGGGCTGCGAGCACATTCACAGTAAACGAATTGATTTTCTGTTGTTTGCTGACGCGCGGCGAACTCCACTCCGACGACCCGTCACGCAAGTTCGCGTCGAGACGGGGCGAACGCGCGGCACTGGCGCGTTCAGCGATAAGACTGCGATTCCGTTCAATCGTTGCAAAGATTGCTATCTCTCGTATCTTTAATTCTGCTTTTTAACTTGCCGTCCTGTAACTGTTGAGGCTCCAAAACACTGCCGCTTTCAGCGTTGTCGACAAACAACGGCCTCGTACATGAGTTAGGCCTACACCGGTGACTCGGCGACCGTCGTTGAATGCCAGCGTGTTTGCTATCTTCCTGGTCCTGAATGATAGCAGGGCTCTTTCTGAAGTTCACAGCGAACGAACAATCGCCACACCCGCTTCACAAATTAGTGCGGCGAGGAACTTCTTTACTGCGGCAGGCAGTCGACAGCACCATGAGAAAATGGCCTAATGTCAGTGCGCGTCACAATGAAGAAGCAGACGCCGCAAACGCCACTTGGCCAATCGGGTGCCTAGGTTTTGTCACAGTGCCCCAAGCAGCCAATAGAATCGCGCGGTGGTGCTTCTTGATGACGCGTTTTTGCAGAAAAACCATTGAGCGGGGAGAGCCACTGGTGACCAAGATTGCCAGTTAATACATCCACCCTATTATCGTTTGGAGCCAGTCACTTCGGTGCGGGCCGCAGTGCTATTCTGTCAGCGCTACATAAATTCATTCAGGTAACCTGAAGGATACGCTGCTAGTGGTACTGCCAGATATAGCCAATTCTTTGTCCCCCTTCTTCATCCTTGCTAATTTGTTTTATATATTCTGGTTTATCGAATTCTTCTGCACTTTTTCACGCTTTTTTTTCAAAGGAACATTATTATTGTTCTTATCTAATTTCTCTCTTTTTTAGCAAGTGTTGTACAAAAAATATCTATTATAAGGTACAGTGTAGCCAATCCCCCTTGTGGGTATGAGCCAAGATCTTCTAGGCAACAAGACAAGACCACGATAGCTCGTGTGTAATGGCAACGGTTCGGTGTGGAAAAAGCGCGACTTTATCATCTATTTGTGCTCAGGTTCATCTCACAGGGGTGTTATAAATTGATATTGTGCCAGAAATAATGACGCCAGAAGGTAGAAACTTCTCAAATAAGTGCAAATATAGTTGCAGATTCCGAAAATGTCAACTTCAAAAAGCCTGTTTTTTTGCAATTTTCGGCCTTTTAAGACCCCTGCCCCCCCCTTAACTTGAGTTTGAAAACCACATTATTATTGCAAGGTACGCCGTAGCGGAAAGGCTCCGGAAATTTCGATTACCATGGGTTTTTACCTTGCACCTATATCTAACTACACGGGCATCAAGCATTTTCGCCTTCATCAACAATCAGGCCGCCATGTTCGAGATTCAATCCTGCAACCTTCGGGTCAGCATTGTAGCACTATAATGACTATATTCATATGTCGGGTAATGCTGATCAGAGAGTCTATGCCCAGAGTCAGAGAGTCAGCCCGACTGTCCTGTGCCAGCAAATTTTATAATTGCAACCCCCCTCCCCAATTAACTCCACTAGTCACCCCCTATTTTGTTTACACAACACACCGCTCGTTACCTATAGACTATTTTACAGGCGAGTTTGAGTGCCGCCATATTCATCAACAACTAAATGAAGAATGTTACACTAGATGCAAGAACATGAAAATGATTGCGTTGGAGCGCACGGTGTCTCATGCCCTTATTAATTCACATTGAATATACATCAACAAGAAAACATTGGCTTAATCCCATGATGGTGGCAACCAGATGTCTTACGGAAAATAGTTTATAATGTGTACAGGTGCCAATGTTCTGAGTACTGCGTCAGTTCTACACTAAGTTGACGGCCCAGCCAAGCCAACAAGCTCCCATGCTTACGTGGTCTGGTATATAGAATAAATTGGGCATTGATTACGACTTGATGACAGATCTATCTCTATGGTGCCATAACCAAACTTGGTTTGTGAGAATTGTTACATAAGCAACTATTTAGCTGACTGTTCACAAATACCCATCACCTTCAACTTACAATGATAAAAAAAAGAAGAAATTCAGAGGAAGATGGAAACTAGAAGGAATGAAAATATCATGAACATGGGCTTCTCGCTGGAGCCACCATCTCGACAAGCGAACTTGCAAAAACACTGAACTTTGAAGAAGACGTGTCTAACTTGTGGAAACAGTGGCTAAGGTCACACGAATATTTTACACCAGTATTCCTGGATCCCATTATGCATACACGAAAGGAACAAAATTTGAGGGCTGGTTTCATTTGTTTGATAACGTTAATCGATCACCTACCCACTCGTTAACAGATAGATGACGTGCTACATGACGCCAGGCGATGAACGCCACACACTGTCATGGCTGCGAGCGGTGCTGACTAACTCTCCCAGGGTACACTTAAATATCCTTGCAAAGCGGACGAGGAGACAACAGTCGCAGCAGCTCAATTGGCAAGAGCATCGGGCGCAAATCCTGAAGATTCAACATTTGCCAGTGAAAAGATGTCTTCTCATTCACTGCATTTTATTCAAATTGCCTGCTCGTTTTCATTACACATACAGGGCATACGAAGCGCATGTGACAAATAAAAACAGGCACAGACACAAAAAGCAGCACGCTGCACTAAAGTTGCAGTAAATCAAAAATGCCGGAGAGAACACCTACAAGGTGTACCTGAAGTGATGACAGCAGAGGGCTGCAAGTTGGCATTGCACAGGTCGCCCACGCAGCAGCAGAACAGAAGCTGGACACTTGGCTCTCGGCGCGTTACTGCACAGTGCTGGCTTTGACTGCAGTCGTGGTTGTTGCCCACCCAGCAACCTGAGAGTGAGAAACAAGGTGCAAATGAGACGTGCATATAATTGACAGTGATAATACAGTTCGCACAGTTAGGTTTCACATTGTCTTGTTAAATTTTTTTTTTCATACACAGCACAGCATCAAAGGGACCGACAACCGATTTTTTTTTCTACCCAGTTTTTTTCCGCCGTAACAGAAAGCTTACCCTTCGTAGTGTTCGTAGCTACAGTAGTTAATCCCAAGAGCACGTACTTATTTTATAAGAAGTATTTTTCGACCTGTAAGGCTCTGAACACTGATGTGCTATTTTGCTCATCAACACTGAGAATTGATAGCGATTCCGGTGGCCCTTCTAGCCACATGTGCACACTGTCATTCTGCGTTCGCAAGAGTTCCTGTACCTATGCTCTACCACGTTTTTTCTGAGCTCCACAACTATTTTTGAAAGTAAAAAGCCGTTAAAATAAGACTATGTGTCTTTATACAGCTTCTCTGTATTTGTACCACGTTGTGTGCGCCTGCGCCCAAGGTTGTTGCACTTGTCGTGGATGGCTTGTCTCGACATTGTTACTCTCTCGACACACGAGCCATGCCAAGTCACCAAAAACGTCACTGCGCATATGCACTGCTGTGCCAATTAGCAGTACACATCATTTTTGAGACAAATTGTAAATAGAAATCTACGTTGCTTCAAATCATGGCGACCCGGAAACTGCGTGCACGGTTTCATGAGCAAGCAGAAAAGTTGCTCAAGATGCGCTGACAAGCATGTGATGATTACATCCCATGCCACTTAAATGCGTACTATTAATGCAGGCCTATATGTACAGTTCTATAGAGTAATATATTTTACTATAAAAACAAACACATTTCAATACTCACAGAAAAATTGTTACGTGTGTACACTATTTTGCGGTCACATGACAGGGCAGCTCGGATAATTGAAGTTTCTCTACCAGGTGGCGCCACAGGCTATTTTCGCTATTTTTTCATGTTCTGGGCAGTTGTCGGTCCTTTTAAACAGAGGGTCTGAACAAAGAACAGTAGCAAAAGACTGGGCCTCACTGTTGTTTTTTCTACTCCAGAAAAGCTAATGATAATAATACCATCTAAGGTTTTGCATGCCAAAACAACTATGCGATTGTGAGGCACACCGTAGAAGGGGGCTCAGGTAATTTCAAGCATCTAGTGGTCTTTAATGAGCACTGACACAACACAGCGCACATTGCTCTAGCGTTTCACCCCCATCAAAATCCAACTACCGTGGCCAGGATCACACCACAAACTTTTTTGTCAGCAGCTGAGCCCCATAACAGTTACCCTGCTGCGGCAGACACTCCAGAAAAATCTATCTAAAAATTACAATGCTCTGTAAAATGATCAGTAAAAAACAAAGAAACACTTTCTGCTCTGTGATACTGTCATATATCCCATTTCGTTGTCACGTGGGAAAAAATACATAAGACAAATTGGAAGTTGTTTGAATACTTAAGAAAGCATTGCAGCAGTGTGCACAAAGTGGTTAAAGGTCCACTTCGAAATTCACTGTGATTATGGCGGCGGCACGCCCCTTTTTTCAGTATTTTTTCAGAAAATGGTATTTTAGGTAATAATCAGCACGGGTTTCGCAAAGGGTATTCCACAATTTCAATTCTTACTGAGGTTACGCATGAAAATTGTACAGTGTTTAGATGGAAAAGGTCAAGTAGACATCATATTTATTGATTTTCGAAAAGCATTCGATAAAATATCTCACAGAAAGTTGCTTAAAAAGTTGTCTTGTTTGACTGGTGACAGTCAGCTAATAAAATGGATAGAGGCATATTTTTCAAATAGACAACAGTTTGTTGAAATAAATAATGTCTCCAGCACCGATAAACCAGTCAGATCAGGCGTGCCGCAAGGGTCCGTAATAGGCCCTTTACTTTTCTCTATCTATATCAGAGACATGGGTGCCGATTTTTCTCAGCAAATAGCTATAAAACATTATGCAGATGACACCATTGTGTATGCCAAGATAAGCTCCACTGACAATCAGCTGGAGCTTGATAACCATTTACAAAAATTGGTCTTTGGTGCGACGAATGGCAAATGGAACTCAATGCATCAAAAACTCTCTTCATGCGCATGACACATGAAAAAGACCCGTTATCCTTTTTTTACAGCATTAAGGGCACAGTGCTGATGTTAAGTATCTAGGTGTTCATCTTACACATGACTTGAACTGGTCCATGCATGTTGACAGTGTTTGCAATAAAGCCATGCGTAAACTTTAGTCGTTACGACGAAAACTTCACGATGCCACCCCGGAAGCTAAAACAATGGCGTATAAAATGATTATTCTTCCAGTACTGACCTACGCAAGTCATCTATGGGAACCATATACCAAAACAAATGCACTAAAATGTGAGCGTATACAAAACAAAGCCTTACGGTTCATCTTCAACTCCTATTCCAGAACTCAGTCTATTAGTGAACTTAGAGACAGAGCCAGTTTAATGACGGTAAAACGAAAAATGCAACATAATCGACTGATATTCTTTTTTCACATACTCAATGGAGACTACAAGGTTCACCTAAGGGAACACATCGCACTACAGCCATTTACCACATCCAGAACAAAACACTCGAAACATATCACACCACTTAGCTACAGAACAGATTTATTCAAGTATTCATTTTTGGTTTGGAGCATCGATGACTGGAATCCATTACCTCAATACATAGTCGAACATTGTGATTTACCAAGGTTCGAAAAGGCTTTGTCAGAATATTTGTAACCAAATTGCTTGTTCCTTGTAGGTTGAACGTGTTCAATGTACTATATCAATATGTTCAATATGTACTATATCACTTCAAATCTTTTTTTTTTCTCTTTTTGGTGTCGTGTACGAGATGTATTCGAACATGTTTCTTTTATCCGTAACCTATGCGGGATGTATTCTGATATAGTTTTTGCGTTTTTGTTTTGTTATTTCCATATAGTGTGGGTCTTGAGCGTATAGTGTGAAACTTGTTTCCACATATGTTCTTTGTACATGCCAGATATATAACCCCAACTTCTGTCTTGGCCCTTGGGCTGACAGTATGAATAAATAATAAAATAATGAAAAAATAAAAAGTATTGCAAGGTTTTAGGTAAGCAACACTTGCAGCTGATGAAAGAGATTATTGAAGTGCATCGCATCGTATAGTTGGACCAGCTTGCATGTAAATTCCGCATCAGTTGCTCTGCTGCAAAAAATGATTGCATACCTGAATCAGTCATAAATTTTGTCCTGTCCTCAAGCATAATCAGCAAGTCATAAATGATTTGTTATTTAATAGTGATCGATGCAGTTCTTGTCTGTTGCACTGTTCCCTGTTATAGTGTGCCATTTATTAGCTCGTTTTTCTTTCTTTTTTTCCACAGATAGTGCCAGATTCAGCAGACCATCATTTCAGCCAATCGTGTGTCCGGATTTTGATACATGAGGTCACTGTATCTCAACTTATATGACTTGATAACCCTAGCGTTGTGTGCATCTGGCATTGAGGTGGAAATGACACTGCCTTCTAAAGCTGTAACTGATTATACATGGCCCTGGAATATGTGTAAACCCACATACATAAGAGATGATATCTGGGATTATGAGGCACGCTGTAGTGGAGGGGTCCGGAAATTTTGATCAACTGGTGCTCTTTAACCCTTTTGCGACCAAAGGAGAAGAAAAAGAAAACTTGCCAAATGACAAAATTTTTACAGCGAAAGCCATTACGAAATTACAACTCGGGTAACGCCCAGTTGTCCGCCACTGCCGCCTCTGGTGCCCGTAACCACAGTGCGCGAAATTAGAAAAAAAAAACGTAGCACCAAAGACACTGTGGGCCCACAGGAGGCCCACCCGGCCCCACTGGAGGCCAGCCCAATATTCTACCACTGAGCTACACTGGTACTTGCGACTTGTTGGCAAACTTGCCCTAGGCAGGCTTGATGTCGGGAAAGCAATCGTGTTAGTACGACTCGTTTTACGACGAAGTCATTTTAAGACAACGAAAAAACAACCAGTCGTCGCACAATGCGAATAGCCTAAGGAGTGGGCCGTCCAAATGCTCAAACCCATTACAAAAGCTCGTTCTTGTTCCCCTATTAACTGTGATGCATACCCACTTCAGCCATAATTCCTCATCGTCGTCAGTCATTGTATGAACAATTGGCATGAAATTCCGTGGAATTGTTTAGCGAATACCACGCTTTCTCAGAAGAATGACGAAAAATAGCACAGCAAACGCCGGCCTACTACCCAAAAGTTTATTATTAATGCCCTAGTGGGTATCAAGCAAGTGTGCTTTCAGTAGTTACCCCATGAGTGTTCTGAAAAGGCTCTGAAAGGCCACTGTTCTAGGTTGCGCTGTGACTGTGCTGTGCCTTCTGCGCAGGCCTGGCGCATTTTTCTCGTTCACTTTGTACAGCTTGCTTTTTTTTTTTTGCCTGAACAACACAGTACCAGTGGTTCAGTGAACTAATGTTTGTTTATTTTTCTAATTGCATAAAAAGTGCCACTTGCAGGGTATCAGAGGCGGAAACACAGGAGGAGGGGCAGGAATAAAAATATATTGAAAAACCGTAAACATGTGGCGATAAAGGCGCACATTGACGAATAGCCAGCACACGGGACCAATAATCTCGAAGACAAGTTAACCAATGGTGGATTTTCAATGTGCAGAGCTGGTGCCTCAGACCACCCTATGGTTTGACAGTATCATGGGCTGTGAACCTAAATTCCGTAGCTAGCTGCAAGAACACATTTCATGTAACAGAATCGAATTAGTGGACCCTTAACATCTCTAAAAGGGACCCCACAACACCTTTCTAAGTGATCACAGAATGACCTCACTGCCGGACGACCAGAGTGCCTCACGAATTCACAGCCACAAAATCCTTTCGCAAGTATAAACACAGTTACAGGTTCGTTGCACACCCTGAGGACTTTCGTCACAAGCGTGTCGGAAGTAGAACGTGGGGGGTGGAGAAGATGGCAAAAGGCCAAGAAGTAAGGTCACTGGGTGCCAGCACCTTATGTATTCTCTATTCAACTTTTTTTTTTAAGTAGTTGGCTGCCCATTCAGATTTCTTGAAGTCAGAGCAAGCAGTTTCGGACTGTCTTTGACACGAAATCGTAGATTCCCCACCTTACGGTAATGTTTGGGTTCCATGTCCACATAAGCCTCGACTACCAATCTGCAGAGTTTTTATGTTCAATAAGTGTTGCGGAGCCCCTTTAGATTTGTGTTGAGTGAATGCCCATCTTGGTGAACAATCTTAGTGCGGCCTGATATGCCACATAATGTTTACAATAGATACACTTAGTTGGGCGTCCCCAACAGCTATTCGTACACAGCCTGCCATTGGAAATACACAGCAGGCTGCGTCTGCAGACCTGCTGTGGATGCCCAACTAATTCTGTCTAACAACATTGATTTGAAAAGGTCTGTCATAAAAATGTGTTTGACCATACTACATCAGTATTTTTCTACCTTAGAAGGTTTATTGGCAGAGAATAGGCAATGGTCAGCAGCATTCAAGCACAGCAACCACAAGCTCGTGCTGACAGCGGTAACACTGATGCACAGAAATGCTGCCGATGCCCCTCTTATTCACTGCAAAAACAAATTTACCGGGAGACACGCTTTATTCTGACCGCAAGGTTTTTTACCAAGGGCCATGAAAGTGATTTCCTTTTGTAGCCACTTCATGCTGCTGCATTTAGATAAGCCATGCAACACTATAGGAAGTCACATACTGCTTTGGCATCCCGGGACGTTACAAAATAGAGAAGGAAGAGCTCTTTTCTCACTGAACTAAGACAGACTAAGAGAGAAGGAAGTGTATGTGCGGCACGCATTCTGCTCATGCGGCACGTCCACACCCACTTAGTGTCATCCTGCAACGCCCACATCCACCCAAACAGGCCTCAGGACACACCCTAAGACCATGAATGCTTTGCACATGCCACATCAGAAGCTTGTGAAACTCAATATTCATACTACTACAGCAGCCCTCCAACAGGAAAAGAAAAAGCCAGGCCTAACTGCACAAAAGACATTTCCTGAGTACAATTTCTAACTTACATTGCTGCCCACTGCCAAAATGAAACACGAAATTAGTCTACTGAAAGTTTGCTAGGTACAGTAATTGGCCTTGGATGGCTTCTGGTTTTGGCTTCTCGCATAGCTTTCAAAACAAAAGGTTTAATTAATAAATAAATAAATAAATAGTAACACTAAGTGAGGTACAAGTCACAGGAGGTGCCATACAGGGTTTTTTTTTTTTAACATGAAACATGCCTTTTGTTCATACACACAGTGTGCTTGCATGAAGCATGTAGGAGCTCATAGGACACAGCGCTGTGCCCTGCTAGTTCACCGTCCCGTTCTTAAACTGTTCTGCCATTATGTTCAGGAAGAGATTAAAAGATGACCAAAACCCTCTTCGCTGATAGCGTACACTGTCCATGGGCCTAGGCACCCCATACCTTTAAGTTTGACGCTGAGCACGCCACTGTTGTTCTGCCAGAGGACGTAGCAGAGGTTGCCCTTTTCGTTCTCCCCAGGCCGACACTCCTCCGACCCGTTACAGCCCGGAAGGGGCTGGCCATCAGCCCCCGGAGAGCCTTGGCACAGTGTCTCATTGTAGTACTCGCATCGCATCAGGCTGGGTGGCGGCCGGTCGGGGCTCACGGCTGCACGAAAAATGCCCGCACAAGTGGTTAGCCTTAGGTGATGGTTCACACATTTTAATCACAGCTACATCCAGGCCATTTAGATATACCAACCAATCAAACTATACACAATGCACCTAACACAACTAACAACAATCCAACAACCGCAAAAATCTAACCAACTGCAAATGATGTTGCACAACGCAGTACTTATGCACACAAGTACTGCGCTGTATGTACACATAAACAAAATTGCTCGGATATGGGGACTTGAACTGCGGGCCTCCAGTGGCGAAGCTCAATGCTGTAACGACTTAGTCACAGGGGTGGTCTAACCCACAGGTGCGGCAGTGGTCGACTCTGTTCTCAGCACAATCACACTGTAAAACAACAAACTGAACTTGCAATAAAATGAATTAAAGAAACGTATATAATCCAGAGCTCAATTCTTTCCATAATGTAAACCTTTTTGTGACTGCTTACATGGTGTTTATGATGCACAGCTTGCATTGCTGAAATGCTACATTTATAAACTTTAAAAATAACTGTTAGATGGTTTCTGTTTTAGATGGTTTCTGTTGTAATTTTTTCTTGCACACTTTCATAACTATAGCTAGTACTAAATAATTCACTCATGTTACCTCGCCTATTTTAATCGATCACCGGTAATCAACGCTTTTGAATCGTCGGGCTTGGCATGTTAAATTTGTTCACCGTTCACCCAGCACTTCATAGTAGTTAGTCCAGCCATTCAACTTTCTGAATCCATTTGAATTTGCCCATTTTCGCAACATAGTGATTTTTGGCAGACCTCTGCGCGAACCAATGTGCGAGTGTAAGTTCTTGAAAAAGTGCCCTAGGCTGGCGCACTTGACAGAAGTGCGTGCCCCTCGTGATTATGCTACAATAACATTGAAGTTCTATAATGAAAAGAACCTTTGCAAGCCAAATATTAAAGTGTCAGCTTCACAGTTTGACAATGTTGAACAGTGAAAATTGCCACAAATTTCACAGTTTGACAATGTTGAACAGTGAAAATTGCCACAAATTTATGCCAGATATTCAACAGAGAGCTGTTCCTAGGAGTCTGGGAAAATTTTTTCAACAAAAAATATTTGCGGAGGTCCGCCACATGTTGAAAGTATCGAGGTGGCCTTTGACAGTTTCCAGCAGTTTTGGTTTTGCTTGCATTGTTATATCAGACACAAGGTCGCATCTAGTGTCACTAGTTGCTCCTATGACGTCGTCGTCACGCAAGCCTGTGTGAGCACAAGCGCTGCAAAACGCATCTGCTGCTAGAAACTGTCTTGCGATTCCCTCTGAATTGAGTGAGGACGAACTTGGAGTTCGAGAATGACAGCACCTCAGCTTCAAGTTTTATGGCGACGACGTTTTGCGTCAGCCTGAGACATTCGCAGCCATCCCCCCCCCCCCCTCTTCAAAAAAAAAAAAAAAAAAAAAAACATTCTGGCTATGTGCCTGCATTGTGGCACTTGTGAACTTGTGAAGAACAACTTCCTCTGCTCCTATGGTATTCGATGCGACACTCACAAGAAAAAAACAAACATGATAATTGTTTCGTCAGATGTATATTAAGCTCAGCCGAAGGACTTAGAAGCCTGGGTTTGTGTTTGCATATACAATTTTTGAAGGGTGCCTTTGTGTTGATTAAAATGGTTTGATGCATTTTTTCAGTTATTTATCTCTGTCACTCTCTCTGTTTTTTGCGTGCACGGCATGGACTGTGTAGGACCACATCTGTTCTGTCTGCAGTAGCCACGCACAGTTCCAAAAGCTTTCTCACTGACAGGCTTGTCCTTAAAACTTCCCATATTGGAGCTTTCAAGACAAAGCTATTTATCTTTTTGTCGACACAGCGTACAATTTAGGCAATCACGACTCAAGCATCAACTTTAAACATGCCTCAATCATCATCTGAAAGAGCGGCTAACAAGCGCCCACGGCAGCACGCTTCAGGAGAAAGGCACCGCATCGCCGCCTAGTGGTTTTCGTGAAAACAGCCTCACCGGGGGAACCGCTGTCGTCCCACTTACCCTATCTAGTTCATAATACAGGAACTGAAGTTAACTGTCTTTGAAAGTTGAAAACCGGAGCACAAAACAAGAGAAAAAAAATTCCCTTTTGCATTTCACTCTGCCAGTTTGTCCATGGTTGTTTTGATTGAGAGTTTTGCACAGGTACATCGAAAGTCTCGCCTTACGGTGGCCTTTGCAAACCGATGCATAGCACACCTTGTGTAATTCACAACTGCTTTCAAAATGTAATACTTAAAAGCAGGTATGATCTTATAAATGATGATGTATGAAGTATGGTTTCACATTTTTCAGAGCACAACAGAGTGTCCTAGCTGATACCACATGAATGCAACAGGGCATCTAAAGGCAATCATGACAAGATGGCATGCCAAGTTTTTTGTGCCAACAGTCGCTGTTGTGCGATGTAGTAGTTGGAGTAGAAGGTGGTTTCTCCATTCAAATAAAATTACAACCACATTGTTTTTGATGTTCTTATTTGCCCTAAAATACTGCCACAGTCCACAGTACTAGAAGCAGCTATACAAAATACACGCTTAATTTGTATCACAAGGCCTCTTAAATAAATAGCCTTTCAACAGTCCCTGAACAGAGAGCATATCCAAATGGCCATTAGCAGTTGGTGAATGCTATGCAGATCACAGACCAAGGCCTCTGAAATTTAGAGCGTGCTTTGGGTGATGCCCGATCCCAAGTGTCAGGCAAGGTGCCAGTTATGCTGATTTTAAATGTACTGGTTTCCGCACCACTTCTGGCTTGTGGTAGAAACACTCGTTTTTAAATTATGGTCATAGCATTATAAGAAGTCTACTTTTCACAGCACATCTATCATATTTTCAAACGTAAATTTTTTTTCCGGACGTTACTGTATGTCCGTAACATTTCAAACCAAGCTTTCAAGCAGCTTTACCACTGTATTACCAAACCAAACTTAGGCTTATTCTTACCACCACATTCATGAACCAACCTTAAAATTAGGGAAAGGACAAGAAAAGTATAAGTGCCCCGCCGTGGTGGCTAGAGACTAAGGTACTCGTCCGCTGACCCGCAGATCGCGGGTTCGAATCCCGGTTGCGACGGCTGCATTTCCGATGAAGGCGGAAATGTAGGCCCGTGTGCCCAGATTTGGGTGAACATTAAAGAACCCCAGGTGGTCGAAATTTACGGAGCCCTCCACTACGGCGTCTCTCATTATCATATGGCTGTTTTGGGACGTTAAACTTCACAAATCAATCAAATCAATTGTGAGCTTCATGTTGGAAACAGGTAGGAACCGATGGCATAGTTAGTCAAAACTGATTGACGGGGTTTAACGTCCCAAAACCACCACATGATTATCAGAGACAACGTAGTGGAGGGCTTCTTTAAAGGGGTGGTGCCATCAAATTTCGAGGCTGAAGCAAGCCCCTTGTGGGTTTCCTCTGTATGCTAGGACACTCCACACAAACGGTCGTACACAGCGAATGTTTAGAATATATTTTAACTCAGCTCAAAAGTGTAGTGCCTAAATGCTGGTTCTCCCGGGCCAAAGCCCATCGCAAGCACGTCCAGAACTGTTGCAGCTCTCTAGGAAGGCCAACGAAAGTTGCAGTGAGGTCGTACCAGATCAGTAGTGAATGTAGGTGTGCCCAGATTTCCCCTCCGGTGGGAACAACAAAAGTTCATCGCAGCACACCCCCTTCCTAAGTCAACGGATGGGTCTTTCAACTCCCTGCGCACCCTTCCTGTGATGTCAACGACTGTGTGGGGTTGTGTTTGCACATCCACCCTCATACGTGACTATGGGAGTGGCCGCCTCCTTACACCCCCCCACCCCCCCTCGTCCCGTGCACACGCCTAATGTAGTGAGGGAAGCGACCTCAAGGGACCTCACATCATACCGGCAAAGCATCGCGGCTGCTACGCGTTTGTTTTGCAGGTGCTCGTGCGACACGTGTGCGCGAGAAAGCTAGCGAAAGCAGACAATGGCCTCCGAGATGGCGGGTCGCGCGCGGCCGGCCCACCATATCGGAGCCATGAGCAGACGATAATCCACTCCATGTGCGTCGCAGCCTTGTGGCCACGCTAAACTGCAACGTCACAGCCCAATTCTGCGCCCAGAAACCGAAAGTGGTCCACATAAAAAAGGCGATATTATATTATTTAGCGAAAATTATTGAATCGTGGTGAGTATATCATGCTTCCTGGAGATATAAGAAACACGTGCAGCAAATAACGCGCAATCCACAAAAATGGTGGCACCGCCCCTCTAACGTGCATCCAATCTGAGCACACGGGCCTACAACATTTCCGCCTTCATCGGAAATGCAGCCGCCGCAGCCGGGATTCGATCCCGGGACCTGCGGGTCAGCAGCCGAGTACCTTAGCCACTATACCACCGCGGCGAGGCGTTAGTCAAAAATGACTTCTACGAGTGAGAGGTAAACGTTTGACAAGTGGCGATATTCGCATAAAACATTCAAAGACTCGCATTGAAGTTGCTACAACAAAAATATAATTATGAGGCACGGCGTTCTGCTGAATTCCAGGTCCATTTTGACCACACGGGAATTTTACAATGTGCACCTAAATCTAAGTACTTATGTTCCCCTGCGTTTTGCCCCCGCCCCAATAAAAGGCGGCAGCCAGGAGTCGAACCCACGACACCGAGCTCAGCGTGACAGAGTGGAACGACGCAAACGAGAACAATATGTTGGGGACTTTTTTCCTGTTGCATAAGTATCCCTTTCTGGTACTGTGTCAATATATTTTATATGAGCAGAGAAGGCTTAGCAGACATTAATTGATGTTTTCGCATCCAGCATTAAGGGGGGTGGATAGCACAGACGTGTGCAACTACTACTGCCCATCACTCTTCAATTGTTAAAGCAAACTTTACAGGGGGGGGGGGGGGGGGGTAGAATCGGTCAATAAAAAAATACAAAGCCGTTCTATAAATAATAAAAAATTACTTGGAAGTTTTTATTTTTAATGAACATTTGTGAAAAAAGATTTAGCATATAGATTGGTGAAATCTCTTCTGGTTATTTACATGTGCCCAGGGTATCATGCTGAAGCAAAATAATTGTAGGCACGGCCATTCTATAGTTAAAAATATAACTGTTTTGTGACTAGAATTCTAGGGCTGTTTTTTTTTTTTTTAAATTAAGAACTGTAGAAAAAATACGCTTCTAGCGGCAACAACATTATCTTGCTTCAGAAAGGTGGTATTAAGAAAAAAAGTCGCAAAAGCTTGCATTCGATAGCTACAGCGGTTACAGAGAAAATGTTCCTTTTCTAATTAAAGGTAGTGTTCGGAGAAAGCGCCATTTATAGTGATAGTTGCCACAGTGCTGACATGGGATCAGGCCGCGTTTAGGGCTGTCTTTAAATGCTTTCCACTGCTCGAAACGACTCGCCACTTCGTGGAAGCACTTGTCAGTTATGCTGGAATGCTGGAAAAAAATGCAGTTATGCTGAAAAAAAAAAATCGCATATTCGGTCGTCTTCTCCCGTAACTGCTCGCAATTTACGCAACGGCACTGAATTATAACTCAACAATTCTGCTTTGTCCGTTTCCTAGTGTTTGCGCTCAACACCATTATGAACGGTACCGGAGTATCGGAGCGAAATTTGAGAGGGAAATGTGCTGTCACTTTCCAGTAACAAGCTCTTTTGAGGCACAACAATCAATTTAAACACAAAAAGTTCGCTTCCTGGGGTGTGTAGCATCTTCTCAAACGTTCCGATCTCGATGCGGTTCTCGGAACATTTGAATAGATGCTACACACCCCAGGATGCTGTTGTTTCTTGGAGTCTCTCATAATCATATGGCGGTTTTGGGACGCTAAACCCCACATATCAATCTATCGACGCTGTCCTCGCACGAAAACAACTAAAAAATGACCACTATTGTCTTGCTGCGCGCTGCTTTCATTGTAGGAAAAAAGAAAGAGCGATAAGTTTAACAATGGAAATAAGAAAAAAAATACACGAAGAGCAGCGCGCAGTCGTTTTCAATAGCACAGAAAAACAGCCGGAAATATCTCCAAGCGGAAAACGGGCAGCTGACAATTTACAACTCGTTTCATACGAACAATCACAAATTCTGTTAACACACGTGCACATACAGATTCGGCTGCCACGGAATTAAAAAAAAAATTTAAAAAGGCGAGCGCAGATACGTGACAGAGGGGGAGGGTTTGAATGTCAGCAGTTTTTAGCGAACCAGTTTTTACCAGAAGAGCTGCTTGGTTGTTTCACGGCACTTCAGAACAAAACATCGCGGGAATGTGCCTATCTCGGGGCGTGGAACACAAACGACAGTTTTTTGTTGTTTTTTTATAAACACGGATCGCTTCTTTCGCGGTGAGCAAGGCGTGAACGCAGCGCTTCTGGCACTGCGCACGTGCTACGCGATTCCGTCATCAATGCTCTAACGAAACCCAGCAAACAAAAAAGAAAAAACTGGCACCGCAAAGAGAATGGACAGGAACGAATAACATACGGCGCTGTTCTCCGGAATAAGAGTTCGGACGCGGAAGTCGAGCGGTATTTAGTTGCATCATTTAGCTGTTTCAGCCCCGCTGCGAACGAAGAGGCCTTACGAGCAGGAATACGTCAGCAGCGACAGATGTGGCCTTCGTTTCCAAGAGTGTTTCGGGTGCCGTCGCGGGCACAACGGTGATGCCAGCTATTTGTCTTTCCTGGTTACGTGGTGGGCCATTCACAACGGCCGTTCCGCTAGCCCAGTTTCTCAAAAGGACACTTGCCGCCCGAAGGAGAAAAGAGAATGCACACGTGACCCTTACAGCCTTGATAGAAGCGTACGCCAAGAAATGGGGGCGATTTAGTACGGCGCTATCACGGGGAACGCGCACGGGAAAAAGACAGTATCCGAACGACCAAAAACACACGGAGCCTTCCGGGAACAGTAAGGTAGCGAACGGGGGAACACGACCGCACACGCACGAAAAACAGCGCAGCAGCCTGCGACCAGCGTATCCCGTGGTGGCTGCCCGCGAGCGATAAGGCGACCTTCACTAACCGCGATGTCGCGCGAGCACTAACCACGTAAAATGACTTCGTGGCTCGAATAAAACGCCGCGAACGGGTCAATGCGCAGGATTTCGAAGGTGACAAGCGCGCTAAAAGGGTTAGGAAAGTTAGCGACCTTACCCATTGCGATACCGAGGCAGGACATCACGAGTAAACAAACAGTCCAGCGATGGTTAATCCCGGGTGCTTCGCACGGCACACGTCCACCTCGGCGCTCCATCTTCGCCCGTTTCAGCCACATTGACCAGCGCACATCCAGAACGAACAGTCTGCACTCGGTCGTCGACACGGCGACGGGAATGGAAACAGGCCGGACAGCCAAAATATCGCTCTCACGAGCGAGTCCTCACTTCGGCTTCAATCGTCGTCTCATCATAGCTATCGAAAAGCCATCTCGACGCACAGATTACGTCGACTCACAATCGGCTGACACACCTCGGCGAGACGCACACCTTGTCAACGTCATGACATATCACTCCGATCATCGGCAACCAGCTCGTTTAGTTTACATCGGCTAACACTGTCGCACGCAGTAACAAAATACACAGTCCCAATATGGCGGACCTTTTTGTGCCTCCGGAACGAGTACCCGGATGAACGGCCTTCTTTTTTACTTTGTTTATTTGAACGGCACATCGTGTTTTGCTCCGTACGTACGTACGCGTACGGAAAGGTTTTTAAGGAGTACGGTAAACGCAGCGAGGTGTCGCGTACGATTTGGTCCATGGACGAACATTTTTTTTTCTTTCTCGTAGGCGGGAAATAACAAAAAAGTGGAACAAACTTGACGTTTCCGGTGTGCGATGTTTATTTTAGAAGCGGCGCTCTGTGGGGGGTAACAGACAGGCCGGCGGGCCGCCACCCCTCCACCTTTGAAGAAAATGATTTTGTACGCCGTAAACCCGTCACTTTGTTTATCGATGGTTTCGATACAAGCACCGATGACGCGACTGGATCGTGGAACGCCGAATCTCTCGTCGATATAGCCTAGCGCCGCGAGCACACCCACTTCTCCACGTTAACTTGAAAACCGTGTTCGCGCATCAGCTTGTTTTAATGAACCGGCTCGGCTGCTTCAGCTGCGTTTGTGTAATAAGCTATCGAATTTCTAATAGATAAGGCGCTTTGCAACTTTGCCATACTGCTCGTTACAACCTACTGTCTTTGTTTTATTTTTTAACGGGCTCCGATCTTCTCTCACATACTCTTCCCCATGTTCTCTCTACTTGCCAGCGCCATCATTAGTTTGCGCTGTTCCCGTTACCGTTCGCACCCAGAGGTAGCCTCACATAACGGCATACTCGCATTCAAAACTTGGTTTTTTTACTATCTGCGGATGTTAAAATATCAAACAATGCAGTTTTCATCAACTAGTTATTCATAATGTTTCGTTTACCTTTTAAAACGGGGAGTAACGGCGCTTCACCGACTCCATACGAGTCGGCGATTCTCAGAATCGCGAGTGAAAAAGAAACTCATAAAGAGAGCATACTAGAGGTCTCCCATTGGTGCGTTCTGACATCACTTCTGTAGCGCTCGTGATTGGCCTAACAACATGATGTCAGGTCTAAGAATACGCAGGCGCGTATAAAAGCGGACAACGTGCGCTGCGCGCGTCATTTTGCCGCTCGTTGGTGTCCACAGCGCGTCAAGCCAGCGGTCGCTTCGTGCCGCAACAAGTGCGCCTAAGTAAGCCGGCATCTCGATTGTGGTGCAAGATAGGACCCGCCGATCGCGAATTGTTTTTGTTTACGGTTGCGCAATTCGGAGTCAAGTGACGACTGACGGCTTCCTTGCTGCCCAGGTGACGGATTGCTCGCGCTTGGCGCTCAACCCCTTCGGCACAAAACGGATTCGGAACTACTGCAGCCCATCCCAGCTGGTGAGTAGAAGTGCTCGACATCGTCGATCGCCTTCTAACGTGTGCATCGCGTGGACTGTGACACACCCTGTGGATTAAGCGCGGATGTTGATTTTATAGTTTTGTTTTTCAGTACCTGGATTTATGTAGTTACTGAACCGGAAATTACCGAGCTTTTATTCATCTGCTTTTATTCTTTTGTTTTGTTTTTCTACAGGCTACCAAAACTCTACAATGCTCAGTACGTGGTCCGTGACTGGGATGGCTAAGAACCACCACTGCATCAGTGTAGTCTATAGGGATACTACGCAGGCGGACTACGACGCCTCGGGCGATGCCGTCAACCGCTCATCATCCAGGCATGCCAGCTCAAGCAGCAATCATCTTGACACAGGTGAGGCACCGCTCCGACTAACATACGTTTATCCACAGCAGACATAAACAGAGAATGTGGAGCTAGCGAAGCCGGCACAGTATGAAGTAACTTAAAACAGCTGCTTCGAATGCCCCAGCACATAATTCACATTCCTGGTGCTGCCATCAATTGAGGAAATGTTAGCATATTGAGGCATTGCCTGCATTGGTTAATGTGTACAGCTGCTATTTCGGGCAGTCAAATACTAACAGTTACAAGGTATTATAAATGTTGCACTAACTTGAGCGCATCCTTAAACTGTCTGAACGGTTGTTTGATCTTGGGTTGCTGTAAACTGCACTGCACTTCAGAAGCCAAATCCACAGTCGACATATTGCTCATTAAATTACTAGAGTAAGACATAGCAGCATGCTCTCAAGGGCAAAGTTGCGTACATTTTCCATCGTATAAAACGCAAATCTCAGTGCTTCTAAGTAGGAAGTTAACTTGCATGTTGGCGCAAGACTTGTGTGACTCACTAGTGTGCTGCTTTTGTTCTTCCAATGCAGGTGATGCCTCATTTTTCTTCGATGACCTAGCAAAGCCATATGTGGAGAGCAGCAACCTCAAGGAGTCTGCTCAGCCACCCTTTGTGCCACTGGATGACTCGTTTCTTTTCGATCTTTCTCACTTCGAAACCTTGCCGACAGACCTGAATTCCCCGACGCGGATGTACAACGGTCTGGCTCAGGACAAAGTGCTCACATCCCTTGACAAGCCCGCCACAGAGACAGCTCTTCCGGGCCAAGCGTTCTCCCCAGCCACAATGGACATGTGGGAGCAGAACGAGACCTTCCAAGACCTGGAGAAACTGATTCAAGAGGTGAGCATCCACCACTGCGGTGCATTAAACACGTTTCGTCATCTTTATGGCGCTGACATGAGGTTACGTATTCTGGCTGCTTTTGCTTAGTAAAGAGCTATGCAATGTTAATAGGACTTGGCAACATTACAGCGTGCAAAATAATGTGGGAATGGGACAATGACACAACACTACACCATTTGTTCAGGCCTGCCTTTTGTTGTCCACAAAAATCTTTTGATATGCATGAAAGCTGGTAGGTGGGTTTCTCAGATTATTGCGACTGGGTCGAAGTGGAGTTTGACATCTAAATGTCCTCATCAGGCAGCTTCTTTGAGACATTCTACATATTAGTTTATGGTGTCCACATACACTGTTCTGATCAGAAATATTAATCTTGTCTACACAGGGAAAGGGCCCAACAGTTCTGCCACCTGTATCAAGCCAGTCCTGCTACATCCTGCCATCATCACTCCCAAGCCACCAAATTTCAAGCACCAGCAGTGGCACCACAGTGCTCGCTTCTCCATCGAGAAGCTGCAGCAGCAGTCCCAGTACTACAAGCCAGACGACATGGCAGCCTCAGTCGCCACCGTCATCGAGTGCTACCACCACCACCACTCCAGTGTCCGTAAAGCGACCTCTCAGTCCCGTCTGCGAGCCAGGCCCTTCTCACGCAAGTGGGCGCTGTTCCCCTAAACTGCAGAAGGTCGAGGAGCCACCGCGGTACTCAGACATGAGGGTCAAGAACAACATGGCATCCCGGCGATCACGGATGACTCGCAAGGAGAAAGAGCTTGAGATGGAGAAGCGGGCATCGGAGCTTGAGCAAGAGAATGAGCTCCTGAGGATCAAGGTCAAGAATCTGGAAGAGCTGACGGACAGGCTCAAAAAGCACCTTATCAGTTCTATCGTCAAGAAATGAGTGCTGGGTACTCGTTCCTTAACTTCATATCACACTTGTCACTGGACAAGTCCCAGTGTGTTTTGTTTGTCAGTGGCAGATGTGTTTTTTTTTTTCCTCTGCCATTATCTTAAGCTCATGCCATCCCTGCCATCATTCCCATCTCTGCCCACTCCTTAAAATGTTGCACTGGGCAATACCGACATGGTAGTGCACTAGGGGGTAAGGTGTCCGGTTTAATCAAGCTTTTTGCATATTTAAGTGTCTCGCAAATTTCGATGTTTGTTAATACCCGGTTGTGGAAGCCACATTTCTGTGGGAGACAGAACTTAACAAGCTAGTGTACTTAGATGCATTTTAATTAATTCTGTGAGAATCCGGGAAGAATCCTGAAGTTCCAGAATAAATGTGCCTTAAAATCGTATCAGCAGAAGGAGAGGAATGCCTGGTGGACACAACCATGCAAGACAAACAGGTTGTGACATGTAGTACCCCAAAAATAAATTTTTTAAGATCTGTGCCAACCACTGGCTCTTGGATGTTAAGTTCAGTGGGACAGATGGTTTGATTATTACATTCTCTAGTGCCAAACGTTTGACAATGTGCATCTTGCATGCCATTGACATGTCATGTGACTGTTTAGCTCCGAATCTTTAAATGCAATCAACCACCAATTCTGTTCTCTATAAAGAGAAAAAAGGTGCCAATTGTGCCCACTGCTTTTGTGGTTCCGACTTCCTTCCCCCTCTCCTTCAGTATTTAAAAGCTCATGAAGTGCAGCTTTCTGCATTCGTCATCTATTCCCAGTGAGCACGGTTTGTACATATGTCATTGCCAAAGTTTGAGTTGAGTGTGTGTCTGCGTGTGTGTATAGTACAGACTGCTGGGCAGCTGTGAGTGATATAAAAAAAGTGCCTTGATTTTGCTGCACGAGTGCAATATTGCAGGTGTGTTCCAAGGCATGTTCTATTTGTACATAAATGTACAATAAAAAAGAAATCATGGAAAATGTTTACACTTTTTTTATTTGAAGCATTTCTAGTGGACTTGCTGACAGCACTTAATTCATAGTAAAGCCATTGTACAGTGAGTGAAAGGGTCATAATACTGAAAACCTTGTTGCACCAGAGGACTTGTTTTGTTGGTTGTTAATTTTTTTTTGTCCTTGTGCTTATTGTACATTGGCTGTACCAGGTATTGCAAGCACTGCATGCCAGGGGCAAAGCCAAGGTGTGGCCCACTATGCCCTCCCCCCCCCCCTCCCAAATTTTTTTCGTTGTGGCATAGAGAGCGAAAAATGGCCATTTTAAAGGGGTGCCCCTCCCAAAATCAAGGTGGTGCCCACACCTCCCAGAAAACATTTCTGGTTATGCACCTGCTGCATGCGTAATGAAGTAGCCCGATTCTGTGGCATTTAGGGTAATGGTTTGGACGAGTTTCTGTTCACAAACTATGTTGTTGTAGTGCGAAGTTCGAAAAAGGAAAGACAGCTAAAAACACGGGTGCTTCTCTAGCTTTCCTCCCCTTCAGTTTTTTTTTTTTTTCTTAAACGGTCTTACGGCAGTATGCCCAGTAACTCGACAATGCGGTAGGCTGTTAGATAGTTTAGGTATCGAAAAAAAAAAAATGCGTTCTGATCTGGCCAACCGTTCGTCGAGAAGGCGCAGATAGGCTCATTCCCGAAGTGCAGATTATGGAACGATATATTTGCCCACCCGCCACGGTGGTTTAGTGGTTATAATTACGGTTTTCGAGGCTGACCTGGATTGAAGTCGCGGGATCAAAAGCCGGCCGCTTCTTGATGGAGGAGGCAAAGAGCTTGAGGTCTGTGTACCTTTAGGTTCAGGTGAGCAACACAAGATGGTCAAAATTTGCGCAGCTCTCCGCTATACGGTGTACTCGTAAACATATCGTGGTTTTGTTGCGTAATTCTACAGCGCTGATATTCTGTTAGCCCGATTGAGACGTAAACAACGGCTTTATTGAAAACCAGCGCATAATGGAAGCCAAGAACGGTGTACGAGATGGTAATTATCGTCTGATGCTACCTAAGAGTAGCATAAACAGTAACGCACTTTTTTCGGATTGCAGGTTCGGTTCGGTTTCTTTCTACACATACATGTCACAGTTACTACAACACGTTTAAAACATTACAATTAACGTCTACTATATTTATCTTGGCTTCCTTATCTGCTTGAACTGGTATAGCGCATTACGGGGAAGAAGAAACGGCCGAGCAGACCAACACAAGAGGACAGAGCGCTAACTTCCAACTGAGCTTTATTGTCAAATTGCATCAAATAAGTAGACCGGCGCAAGCATACAAAACCACCCTAACGCAACGACAAGATAACACACAACATCACACCGTCACATATCACACATTCATAGGCGGTTACTCTGATTAAGGAAGGCCACTTCATGTTCAGATAAACCCAAAGAAGGGGCGCTAATACACGTGCTGCCAGCTCTTGCAATACAATGCGCTTCTATAATTTCCCGAGTTAATTGCGACGGGTGCTTTTTTATCACTTCACACTGAAGTGGCCTTCCTTAATCAGAGTAACCGCCTATGAATGTGTGATATGTGACGGTGTGATGTTGTGTGTTATCTTGTCGTTGCGTTAGGGTGATTTTGTATGCTTGCGCCGGTCTACTTATTTGATGCAATTTGACAATAAAGCTCAGTTGGAAGTTAGCGCTCTGTCCTCTTGTGTTGGTCTGCTCGGCCGTTTCTTCTTCCCCGTAATGCGCTATACCAGTTCAAGTACGACGAACCAACTCGCCCAATCTTCAACACTCGTGGACTTATCTGCTTGTTTTCGTTATGGCTGCGTCATACTAAAACCGACGAGCCTTCTTCCTTAAACCATGGCTGGATGTTCCAGAGACACGTCAGTAACGAGGGTACGTTCTCTATCAGCCCCTTCGGGCCCAGCAATCATTAGAACACACCCCCGACACGCGCTGCTGAAACGAGCCAAGTGTGCTCCTTGATCACACATTCGAATTTCCACTGCGACAGATGTACTTGGTGTGCTCTCTCTAAGCGAACGGTTCGGCTTACTGGCACGCCATGGGAAACGAGAAACCCAGACGGGTAGGGTTTCCGGCACATTGTGCGAGTGCTGGAAACCCTACCTAAAAAAGGGGGCGATCTTGCGCTTCTGCGAAACAGCGAATTCTCATCGCTCATCGTCGGAAGTTTTCGCAACGCTCGAAACGCGGAGTGGCATATCTGACTTCACTCGCGGCGAAAGTCGCTTGAATCGGGAACGCCGAGTTGTCATTTCCATTGTAAACGCTGGCCACGACGCAGGTACATCGAAAGTCTCGCAAACTGCCCGATAGTTCGCGAAGCTTCCGTATAGTTTGTTCTACCATAGTGGCCAGAAAGGTTTTCCTTTATATAGTTCTAATGTATGACTAGTTGTCGCTAAAATGACTCTGATTTGATTGATATGTGGGGTTTAACGTCCCAAAACCACCATATGATTATGAGAGACGCCGTAGTGGAGGGCTCCGGAGATTTAGACCACCTGGGGTTCTTTAACGTGCACCCAAATCTGAGCGCACGGGCCTACAACATTTACGTCTCCATCGGAAATGCAGCCGGGATTCGAACTCGCGACCTGCGGGTCAGCAGCCGAGTACCTTAGCCACTAGAGCTAAAATGACGCAAAAAATACACGAAGGAAAGAGACTGGAATGACAACAGTATCTCAGAGTGGTTTATTTGAGTTGCGACACCAAAATTAAATACACACTAAACAGCATGCCCCAAATATTCCGTACCTAACAGGACAACCAGGTTTCCAACGTTGCAGGTTTCGAAGCTGCCGCCAGAAATTTTCGACTGCCTATTTCTAAAGCGCGAAATTTGTCTCATACATAATGCTATATAGAAAAAAAAAAGCCTTATAGCCGAGGTGTCGGCGTTGTCAGCACGAGAGATGCAAAAACATCCTGTAAACCGTGTAACTTATTCGCATGATTATTCTGCTACATCGCGATATCACGTGACGTCGTCCTTTAGTCAAGGCACGATTCAGAGGAACGGGGAGTTCTCCCCCCTTTCTCACCTGAGAGGGGTGCTAAGTGGGGCTCACAAATTGCTTACGTGAAGCGCTGCACGGAGACAAAGCACGAACGGAGCTGAAACGACCGGACAACTGCTGCACTCACAACTAGCTCATTTGGGAAGAAAACATGGCTAATATGCACACATGATAGCGTAGCACGTGTGACAATGACGCTCCAGTTGCAACAGTTTCCTTGTTATAACTGTTATGACCTCGATTCAAAATATGTACTCCAACTGAACATAACAAAAACTACATGGACGTTTCACCACCTATACGTGAGTGGCTTCATCAGTATGCATAGTAAGCTCTGGCACCAAATGAGGGGAGGTCGCCTAGTCTACTGCTGTTACTGTACTGTTACAAGACGCCTGGGATGATTATCGGCCCGTTTACGTGTGCTAAATGATGATGATGTTCTTGTCAGCCGATTCCGCGGATGACAATCTCATTAGACCGCTTTTCAGGTGTCGAATTTAATTCTGAGTGCTTCTTATGAAACGTATAATAATACCAGCGTCGACATCCATATGCGGACCCTCAGGCGCGTTGGCAGGGCCGTGCTGCTCAGCTCAGGACTAGTGCTACCAACTATGAATGATCCAACAGGCTAAAAAAGCGGCTAAGAGACACGAGGTCTCTTGGCCAGTTACTATGCGTGAGCCCCGCCGGGAAACCTGCAAGAAGTCAGTTAAGTAAGTTAATATAAAGTTATTTACTCACTCACTCGCTCGCTCATCCTTTAAATATGATCAATTCTGGCATTACTTCAAAATGGTCGCGCGGAAGAATATAAAGACCGCACCGCGGCGGAGTGCCATGAGATTATATACACGCTTCGGTAAATAGAGCGCGCTTTTTGAATCGGGACCCCGCGTGCAGGGAAGGCTCGTTGTCATTCTTGTCTCTGTGTCGTCGTTTTGTTCTCGCGCTATAACTATCGTCAAGGCTCGTTGGTTTGGCTTGTGGTGTACACCGCGTCTTTCGATCGGCTACCGAGCACCGAAACCACTGGGTCACCTTGGCGACTAACGTGTGGGTAGGAAAGAGGGAACTCCACAAAAGAGATCGCAGGTACGTTAGACGGGCTATGGGCATGAGTAGGGTCTTCAGCCCAGGTCCAACTATAATCGGCCCAAGCTCGTATCTGCGGCCGCTCTTCGCGCTGGTGAGGCCATATTGAAATGGTAAATTGACGACAGCGAGGTTTTGCAATGTGGGATATGAGTGTTCACGGTCGTGAGCTGGCATATGCCCAAGTGGCATGGTAGACAAGCGTAGACTGGGCATTGAAACGTGTACATTGTTGCATGGTATCATGGGGCGAATAAAACGGCGAGAGTGCCTTCAGGGTGCGGGCACATCGAAAAGAGGGAGTACTTCTTCCTTTCTGGGCTGTTGCACGGAGTACACAAGTTGACGTTGCTGCCTCGGCAATGCATCTCTGAGGGGTCATGCATATCTAGAAAAGTCCAGTGGAAGATGTGGCGGCGCCCAACGGCCCCTTTCTGGAAACAAGAGTACCTACTACACACCTCCTTGAACAGCACCAACTTCACAGCCAAGAAGATGGCCCTTCAGAAAAAAAAAAGAAAGAGAAAAGAAAAGATTCTACGTTACATGATGAATAGAAAGAGAATGAGAAAAACGCGAAACGAGGAAAAAAAAAACGACCAGGCAAGCGCCTTCAAACAACTACTTTTATTTTCAAAAGTATTGTCCAAAGTTTCCTTTCGCGCCCTTCTTATTATGCATAACTAACTTGCCGGACACTCCATTCTTCTTAAAACACCACTGGTGGTATAAGCCGTCAGATCCTCTTAGAGTAAAGATAGAGAGAAGGGAGCTGTTTATTGACGGTACAGGCTGTCGGCAGTCCAACCACAGATGACTACAAAAACAATCGATTCGAGGACAACAGGCCAGA